AACACTTAACTTAATAGTATGCTTCTCTTTTAATGGCCAGCATTCTACACCATAAAGCATTGGAGGTCTCACCACCATCCTAAAGATTTTTTCCTTAAATTTGAGGGAGACTTTTTTATCACACAACACGCCCAATGCATTCCTCAACTTAACAATCCAACTTGAATTCTACTAATAATATTCCCATCTATTTCACCATCACTTTGAAGAATAGACCAAAGATATCTAAAACGTGTAATCTTATTAATGACTTGATCGCCCAAAGTCACAATCCCCACAGTAGATTTGTCACGACTAAAATTATAGTCCATATGTTCGATTTTAGATCTACTCAACCAAAAACTTTTAGACCCTAACGTTAATGATGGGGACATCAGATCATGGAAAGTATATCAGAGATATGGCCGACGATCTACAGCCATGATCGCACTGATCTATTTTTGATTCATTATATGTATTTGTTTTATTTGTTTGCATTATGTATTTGTTTTATTTGCATTTTTCGTTTTACCCTTAATTAAGGGTCGAGTCATATGTAAGCTCTACGGGCAACGTTGTTTTTTTGTTCTCTTTCATTGTAGGAGGCTATTTATAAGCCTCATATGTTTCTTTTCAAGTTAATGAAGAATTATAATGAAAATTTTTGCAACTCTGTGTTTTATGAGAGCTTGAGAGCTTTGGAGAGAAATCCCTAGGAGAGGGGAAACGAATCACCCACCAACCTTAGAAGCATCCGAGTTGGTGCCTCTTTTATACCTTAATCTATTCTTCTTCTTCCCTTCCCCTCCCTTCCACCGTTCGGCCAAGCCCTCTCTCCCAAAGCTGTTGACCACCTCCAATCCTTCTCCCCGCCGGCCAACCCTCATCCCCACATCCCACCTCTCGGCCATGCTCCACACCACAACCCCCTTCCTACTCGGCTAACACCCCATCCTCCCATCTCCAAGTCACCCAAATTCCCACCCCAACCCTAACCGAGCCTCCGACCTACTCCATCCCCCTTTGCCTCAAAAATTCAAACCACCTCGTCATTACTTTCCTTCTCTACATAAACACTATTGGGAAAGTCTTGATTTCAATTATTCAATCAATTTTGAATTTTAAAATATTTCCTAAAATAGAATTCTATTTTAGGAAAGTTCTTCAAAACAAATCCAAATCAATTTTGAATTGGATTGGATTTAAATCCTCTTCCTTAATTTGGGATTCCCAATTAAACAAGTAGTAAATCCCCTTCCCTAAACCCCCATCTCCATCACCATTTCGTCAGCCCCCCTTCTCCCCATCTCTTTCCCTCCACATTAATTCCCTTCCCTCTAATTACTTCAATCAAGCCTCTCATTAAGGATTGATTTTCCCTCCCTTTCTCTTTATGTAAATTCAAACTTCAAACCCTATTTCCCTCCATCATCTTCCTTTAAAATCTGAACCATATTTCCCCACCTCCCTCTCTAACCTAGCCAACCCTACCTAATCCTAACTCCACCAAAATCTGAACCTAAACTCTCCCAAGCCTCCTACCTTGGTCGACCACCTTCCCATCCCTTCTTCTACTTGAATTCCTTGGAGAAACTTCTCTCTCAAGGAGAATCCTTAAAGACAACAAAGAGCGTCTTCCACAGAATTTCAAAGCCATGTATCTTATGCATGACCGATCCTGTACTCGACTCCGACTTCGTCTACAGCGAACAAGGCTTCGTCGACATCCTCCGATCTCCTTTCTTCGACGTCAATTCGTAGGTAGAAAATTCAGTCGAGGAATACTTAGAGCGTATCATATTCACTCTATCGGAACTCATAAAAGAACAACTTTCCAGCGTTAAGTGGCAAATCATCGTCACACCAAGACAAGGGTGAACTCTTTCCCCCTCAATTTCCTTCCTATTCTCCTTCGATTGTGGTTGTGTATCAAGCATAAAGAACCGTGCAAAGCTCTCTGCCAAAGCTTAGTAAACGTAGGGAATGAGTGATGGATTTCTATGCATCTAATCTCGATGTTAATCTAGAGATGTTATTGGAAATCCTCTATATTTGCTTATGTTGAATTTTATAACTGTTTTGTGATCCTAATTATTACTGTGTGACTTGGCCTAAACTAAGGCACCCCTTTCTTGTTTTCCATTTTCGTTGTCTAACATTAATTCTTATTGCTCTTACTTGAAAGCATGCAAATTCTTACATCCATCATTTAAAGCATTCATAGTTCTACATCAGTTAACCTCCATAATTCAACTTTACCTTCAACTCCTTCTAGTCTTATCAACAAGAAGAATATCATCAACAAAAAGCATACACCATGGTACAACCTCTTGCAAATGTCTAATGAACATCCATAACTAACACAAAAAGATACGGGCTTAAGGCCGATCCTTGATTTAATCCAACAGAAATAGAAAAATACCTGGTCAAACTACCTTGTGTTTGAACACAAAGAAATAACTCTTGCATACACATCCTTATTGACTTGAATATAAGCATTATTAATCCCTTTCTTTTCTAGAAACTCTCCATAGCACTTCTCTTGAAACTTTATCATATGCTTTCTCTAAATCAATAAATATCATATGTAGATTCTCCTTATTCTCTCTATACTTCTTCATCAAACCTTTCAAAAAATAATAGCTTCCAAAGTAGACCTACCCAACATCAATCAACTATAAAACAACTTGGTGAAAATTCTCAACATAATAAATCATAGCTAAGGTAAACGATTAAACTATGTAATCAAAGAAAAGTTTCTCTAGAGAAGCAATGAAGCCTTATGCAACAACTATGAGAAGCAGGTTATACATATCTATCAATTTATGCCTTTTATCATCAGTCCTCGCGCTTTCTTCAGGTACACTCAAGTGCTCTATGATCCTTCAACACTCCTATAAAAGAGCTTTCACCCTCTGCCAATAAATATCATCTATGAGAGTAGCATTCAATAAGGCCCATTTGAGCCTAGCTATTTGATGAAAGTTCCACACAACACTTCACTTCTATCATATCCAATCATTATTCTATCATTCATCCCAGCATACGTGCCATGAACTATGTGGAATGCCCATTACAACATTCATTCAATATAATAATACTTTCTCTATAAGTCTCATGGAAGAAGGAACTAGTAAGTAGCAAGCAGCACATGAAAGGTTAAGATTGTTGGTTTACCAGCTCGCTCTACCAGCGCCATGGTTTTCTCCTCTAGAAGACCAATAACTTGTTTTTTTTTTTCTCTCCTTGAGGTTTGTATAGTGGTGAAAACTAATTCTCTTGTCTTCAACTAATAGAGATGAACATGTTGATCATAAATGGAGGCAATCAAGAGACTTGTCGCTGATTAGCCTTTATAACTACTATGACTTTAAACTCTCATTAATCACCTAAACCCTAAACATCGAAGGCTTCTACGAACTTCTAGTATTATTCAGCTCTATTTGTTGGAATCAAAACAACCTATTTAACCTTTCCATCTATGCGAACCGATGTATGAAATAAATATAAACAATCTCTTGACTCATCAGCACCACTACTACTAGGCATAAAAACTTCCGGACTTGTAGAGTTTAGTTCTTGGGAATTGAAATCCTCTCGAAGAGGGGTTTAAGGAAGAAACCATGTCAACCACTTTGACCAATTTGATAACATCGTCAGTCTATTACATGGAAATGATTTTGCTAGAATATTCTCTCAGAGAACTTACTTGATAAGGGGCAATGAATGAAGATCCCTATACGAACCATCTTGAAGCTGCACATGAGCCACTATACCCTATTTTTTGTCGGAAAAATCTTTAGAAAACCCTACCAAGTTAGTGTTGCTGCAGTCAAATAACAATTCTAGGCTTTCTGTGCCCATGCTTTGGTTAAAATTGATGAGTCCAAACAGTAATGTAATAAAAGCTAGCTTAGATTTTCTAAGAACGGCTATTATCAAAGGGATGCCGTTGAAAATTTCTCAATAAAAATATTGAACGTACTAAATGCACACTTAACAAGGTTATAGCACAATCTTGAGCAAATTCCTACAGTCCTACATACAACAATAGAGTACCGGAGCATGATGTTAATTTGCAAGGCAAACTGCTATTTGAATCCCTTTTGCCAAAAATTCTGCCAACTGAAAACATCAGAACTGCAATTCAAAATATAAACAAGAATCACTATGATCTCCAATATTCCACTGGTAAAATGTATAACCGCTTTAACATGGGAAAGCAGTTTTATGGACTTTCCATGCTGTATGCAAGCTTTAGGCTTCTTTTGAGACAATTTTTTTACTATTTGACTTTTCAGGCCACCACCACTACTTCTATTTGACAACTGTTTTTTTTTTTTTTTATTACTTTCAAAAAAATTCTATGTTAGGATGCCGCTTTAAAAAAAAAAATTATTTATCCCAAAATAGCTTTACAATCATCTTTACAAAAAGCTGCATTTGTCTCAAATGAACCCTAAGAGGTAGCAATGAATTTACTAGTTCGCTATGACAGGAAGATTAGCACCAGGCTTCATTTGAACTAATAATAACCAAGTTTTCCCTCCCCCTTCACAATCAAATTTCTCTAACCGAAAACAAAACACCAATAATAAAAGTCAACGTGGTAACAGAAAATTGCATTGCCAATTTTAACCTTGAAAGTGATAATTTGGTTTACACTGGTGAACAGCTTGAAGAAATCATGAAAAGTGAAAAAATACTGAAATAAAAAATTGATTATGAAAAAATTAAGTGCAGGAAGTAAAATTTTAACAATATAGAGAGATGAAAACCCTAGAATAAACTTTCTTTTTTTAAATTCCAAATACCAATGTCTTAGGCCGCTAAAGAATATTTAATACAAAATGGCATTGCATTAAAATTGGATGAAGTACCATACATATAATTTTACTGCTTCCAATATTTCCATGTTTTAGAACCCGTGGCCATAAAAGAGGAAAAGATTCTTCAGTGATGCATAATTAGTCAACTGAAACAGTATGGGCCTAACAAACACTAATAATTAAAACTGCATAAACTTCAGGATGGGTTTTACTGTTGATATTCTTTTGAAATGAGTTTGATATATAATAGGTTGATTAATCAATAATAAATCTCACTCATCGCAATACAACTTTTTCTCCATGAACCACAATAATCAATATAAATCCTTAGCGAAGAGGATAGTTCCACTTGCAATTTGTAATGTTAACACTGTCAAAAGCAAAGCTTCTTTAATATGACAAAATGGAATAATGTATTAATAAGAAATATGATTTTAGCATCATAACAGAATTCCTGAGAAAAGTTTCACCCACAAGTAGCTTGTGAAACTAAACAACTGCCACCTGCTATCCTGTACCCACGGAAAAAGCAGAAGCATAAGCATGCGTCAGCTCATTAAAAAAAAATTGATCCCGATAGTCTAAGAGAACTTTTTTCTCGTAACTTACCATTCAGCAGGTGAGAAGACAAGAATTTGTGAGGTGCAAATGCCGTATGACAAGTTAAAAAGTGAACATTAATCTGCCAAACAGTAAAAACTATAAAATAAAGAGTGCACCTTCCAGTCCTGCATAGCGCTGTAACAAATTCATAAATTCTACATCCCAATCAGTAAAAACAATAGAACCCCAGTTAGTTCTGTTGTTGACTGGTGAGATTTAAAGTTGGTTTTCAAAATAAGAAAAAACCTTCACCCAATTTCAACAAAACAAACGTTTGGCTTCAAGAAATGAGATTGAATCACTTATGGACACTTACAATGAAGCAAACTAGCCATAAAAGCATATTTGGAGCAATCCACATGCAATGTTGGCATCTTCGTCCATTGCCATGGTATGTGGAGTCCAAATGGCAAGGCTGCAACTATCTACTCTCTCACCCACCCACTGTAGAAAAACCAAGTTCCTCTGCAGACAACATCAGCAGTAATCCAAGTTCCATTTGCAAGGGCATATACATTATTAAACAGAAATAAGGAATTGGTCAAACTTCATTAGTATGCAATAAAAAAAGAGATACATGGGGACAGATCAATCTAGAATAAGGGCAACATGGGGAGAGAGAGAGAGTGAGAGTATGGCCCACGGCATGCACAACAATTATTCTTACCTCCTAAAAGCCAGAGGGTAGAAAGGATTTGAGGAAATAATTGAATCCTTTTTAACCTATTTGAAGTCCTGCTAGGAAAAGTTAAGATCTAACACAAAAATAGTTGCAGATTTCAAGTTGTACACCAAAATAAAAGTTCAAGAAGAGAATATTATAATAGTAATAATACATATATTATTCACGTCACGAAGATGTAATAGCACAACACAATTCCAGCATCACTGTTTGAAAGGGTAAAAAAAAGAATTTTTTAGAACAGATAGACCATGCTTCTTACATAGTTCATGATCATTGCAAAGTTGCTCCAAATCATGGGAGAGAATAGGGTTATGTGTTTTTAAAAAACTCCACAGACAAATAATAAGTGGGACTGCATATGAAATCCAGGACAAATAAGGATGATGAATTAGGCATTCATATTTTCTTACTTCCCATATGTCTATGCACATCTGTAAGTTCATATAATTCGGTTGAAACTTTTTTATGATGAATAAACCAGCTCATTTTGAAGGTCTTACGTCTTTCTGAATGCAGATGGTATCTTCGTGGACATAAAGAACTACAGTATGTGATCCATGTCACATCATTACGAACTTTTTAAGGCAACCTGCTCAGAGTCACGGTCATACTTGGCAATAAAAAGGATGAGTCGATAATGCAGATTGTAAGGTGCCCAATTTTAATCATACAAAAGTTAGAATGTCTATGTAGAATATTTTTCCTTAACCTTTACAAATATATCATAAAAGTTATTTCTGGATTATTTCTTATGTTGACTTCAAGGAAATGCACGCAAATGCATATGCATATTGACAAGCAAACATTTTCCTCATCTTTGAGACTTCATCTCCTTACACCACTCCCATGACTATAGGCATACTATGCATATAAATATCTTAGTACGGCATCTCAATGTTGAACATTCAATTAGTGCTTCTGTTATTATTTTGAGCGATTTTGTTTAATATCATGGAAACTGGTGAAATGCTAGCACTGCACAAGAATTCCAGCATTTGATTTCCATCTAAATCATTAGAAAGTGAAAATTGGTCCAAAATATAAAAGCATTACAGGTACAAAATTTCCGTTAATTATCCCCATCAGCAGAAAGGATTTGCTAGTGAAGTTTGAAAATGGAATTAATCAAATGAAAACGTACCTAACAAAACAGAAAAAAAACAAACAAGATACCTCAGACTCTAGACATTACACCATAAGACACCCATCAGTTGAGAAACATGAATACAAATTCCATCTGCAAAAATAAATTGCCTTCCCAGAATTGAAATAGTGTTTCACATCTTTAGTACTCATGGAAGAACTTAATTTGAAATTCCGAGTAATCTCATTAACAATAAATTTCCTTCGAAACTATGAGACTTTTAGCCATGCCTAAAAATTATTATAAATAACGAGCAATAATTAATAATTACCTTTCCTTGATAAAACACAAGGAGCCCATATGTTTTCTTCAGTTCTGGGTAGAAAAGAACCGTTCTCATCTCTTAACACCATTTGCCTCTTGCAAAGAAAGCATCAAATATTATAACTCAAAACATGCTCATTCACATTCAACTATTTTCCAACAAATAAACCAGCTTTTGAGAACATTTACAAATTATTAGTCAAAATATGTACAGAATTTTTCCATTGGGTATGATCATATAAAAATGAAGACAAAAAATGTCAGAAACTACACCTTGCAGTCCAGGCTGCACAAAAAAAACTTTCAAAGCATCACCGGCATTGCAGACCAGATAGTCCTGCAACAGAAGTTTCCATTGAGGAAAGGAATAGAATATTATCGCCCCAAATTCATCTGGGGTTCCTGCTAAAGAACAGCATCAAATGTCTGCTCACATAAACACAAGGAGCCCATTTCATATACGTACCAAATCTCTCACCTAAAGTAAATCAGTGATGACTGAAATTTAGATTATGTCACCGATTACCCTTCTATTCACTTATCTAAAAAGTCACAGGTACCCAACTATTGTGAATCTTTCTGCATTAGCTCTTCCAGTGGAATTGGGCTCTTCATAATTCTTTGCCGATGCCTGAAAGGATGTATTCATGAGGAAGAAAAATATGTACTTGATACAGACATGCTCATTTTCTGCTGCTTTTCAATGGCTCCAAATACCTGTCTTGCCTATGTTGAGGAGGAAATGTTGGCATAAAATCCTTTGTCGTAGGAAGGGGAGATTCACGAAACCAGGGATGATTAAGGGCATCATCGACTGTTATCCTCTGCATAGAGGAGGTAACAATATTAGGCAGTACTAGGATATAATTAAAGCAGCTAAGGATATTAATTACCAAAATTATGAGAAAAAAATAAAGCAAATATTTTTTCATAAGTCTCACCTTCTCAGGATCATAGGTTAGAAGCTGAGTCAGCAAGTTAAATCCAGCAGTAGAAAGAGATGGGCGGCCCAAAAATGATGCAGCAGAACTTCGTGGAAACTTCTCCTGCAGCTTAAAACTGAAAGAAAAAGAGTTCATCAGTATCGCAGAAGGGGCAGTAGTGAACAATCAGAAGGAACAAATGCTAGCAAGCTGGAAGATCAATTTTTAAGTGGAGAAATCTCATTTTTATCAAAGCAAAACCAGTTGACTTACGGTTTCTTGACAAAATTAACTTTGGCACCAGGCAATCTGCCGAATCCAGGCCAAATTTTCTCATCAGGAGTTCCAAGAGTTTTAAATATCTATAGTAGAACAATAACATGTTATTAAATTGTAGAAATTAAAAAAACAAGATCTAATTAAACAATAACCAGTGCAAAAAAAAAGAGCATACCTTGTCAAGTTGATCAAGTTCACTCTTCCCGGGAAATAATGGTTCCCTGGTCAAGAGCTCAGCCATTATGCAACCCAACGACCACATGTCTATAGCAGTTGAATATTTCTTTGCTCCTAATAGCAATTCAGGAGCCCTATAGTTAGAAGTAAACGCCAAGCAAACCATAAGTTATATCACATTTAGAAACAAGAACTAAAAGTCCAAAAAGCAAGATCCAAAAGTCCTCGAAGATTATGCAACCTATGAGGCGCTTGTTAAGAAAGCAAGCATGAAACTAACCTGTACCACAAAGTCACAACCAACTGAGTATATGGCTTCAATGGACTCCCATATTGACGAGATAAACCAAAATCGCATATCTTTAGCTCACCGCGATTGTTGAAGAGAAGATTCGATGTCTTCAAATCCCTGCAAAAGGCAGCGAAAACAGGTTCAAACAAAAATCAACACCTAAATTTTCAGCAAAGCAAAGTATGGCAAAACCAATGCACAATATTACCTATGCAGTACCCAATTATCATGAAGATGCTTGACACCAGCAAAGAGCTGCAGCATCAAGCATTTAACTTCACTCAGATGGAAGGGCTTTTTCATAGTCTCTATCAACCCCTTGAGATCATGCTCCATGTACTCCATCACTGTAAAAACACAATCAAGATCCCTGCCCACAACAACTTCCTTAACTTCCACAATAGATGGGTGGTGAAGAGATAACAAAATGTTAATTTCCCTTAAGGATGTCAAAGGGAAACCCTCCCGCTCCTTCTCCATCTTTACCTTCTTCAAAGCTACAATTTCTCCAGTTTTCTTGTCCTTTGCTCTGTACACAATTCCATAAGTTCCTTCATTAATCTTGTTAAGCTTCTCAAATTCATCTACAGTCCTACAACCTTGGAACATGTTTATACTTCTATAGGGAGGTTCCACAGAATCCGATGTCCTAGCCCTGCAACCTTCTAATGAACCATCACTTTCCAATCCATTTGAGTCCTCTCCAGATGCATCCAGGCCATCAATATCCTCCACAGGATTCAAATAAGACTCTCCACATAGTTCACCAGCTGTAGACCCTTTGGTACCTTCTCTGAAAGTAACTTCACCAGGCACCAGTCTCGGATCTCGTTCAAAAGCCAAAAGAATGTTTTTTCTCCCGTTGGGCAACAAATCCACATCAGGAGTAGCATCTTCATCATCATCAAAGGAATCATTCACATGCGCCCATCTTGACAAAGAGATGGAACTTGCCGGCACAAAATCTTCTTCCATCTGTACAGAAAAATCACCATTCTCCAATTGCGAGCCGTGAACAAAATCAATAGAAGCCTTCTGATCCGATAAGGCCAACAATTCCTCAGATTTTGTAATTTTCTTAGCACATATGGGTTCAAAAAACTTTTGTGGAAGTGAAGAATGTGATTGGAAAGCCTCCTCGTTTCTGGTCTTTTGTTTAAAAACTCTGCTTTTCTTGGCATCCCTGCCCCACTCTATCGATGAGAACTTCCTCTTCTTACATGAGGAAGCCTCATCATTGTCCTCTAATCCCTTAACTCCATCTTCAATTCCAGAACTGTCTTCGCTGGACAACTCACCAGGCTCACGGTCCATGAACCTTTTGGAAATCCAGCCAACCGCCTGCATCTTTCCATTAATTCCATTCATATTAAAATTCCCAAAAATAGGAAAATTTTTCCCTTTAATGTAATCTCCATACCCTCCATCCTTTTGCAGATCCATCCCGTCGCTTCCCTGCCAATCCGCTACATGATGTCGCTCCTGGTAATATTCTTTGTTTCTCAAAACATCAACACCAAATTCACTGCAAAAGGAATCGGGCCTTCCATAGCGTCCATACGGTGCTGGTGCCATGATACGCAAACGAAAACCCTAGAAAACGGAAGCAGAGGAAAACAATCGACAACCTTAATAACAGTACCCGATAAACAACAAATCAAGCAAACTCGCAATTTCAATTGAAACCCTAGAAAATCACGAAGGCTGATAAAGGCAATAGAATATATATTTCAAATTACGCAAGAAAATAAAAAGTAGGATCGACCGACTGAAATCATACCAGTAGGAACAAATCGAGAAGATTGAGAGATGAGAAATTCGTCGATAGATATTTCACAGAGGCCCAGGCAAGGATAAGAGAAAGGTTAGCGATCCAAACACGCGAAGCGGACCTTTCCCACGGAGTTTCCTCAGCCTCAGCCTTCGATTTCTCTAGGGTAGACGCGTAATCACGTGCTTTTATAGATATAGCAAATAAAAGTTTGAGCAAGCTGGCTCCGGTAAAGTTATCCGCGGCGTTGGGATATTTCTCATAGAGTACCTAGCACATATTTTGAATAAACTAATAAAGGAAAATATATATATGTACATATAAAATAAAGAAGGAGAGTAAAGCAGCTAAAGGCCAGCAGTCCGTCGTACAAAAAGTAAAAAAACCCATAAAACCAAGTAGATCAAAATAAGCAACGAGAGGGGACTCGGGATGGAGGACCCCAGCACCATCCTCGTAGCCAAGCATGAACCATCCCATCCGTAGGTGACAGCTATACAAACGCAATTCATAATCCACCAAGCATCAAACCGAGGCACCCAGGTTGCCAACCACCCAAGCCAACAAGGGGAAGCAGAGGTCTCCTCATCATCGTTCATGAAATCAACAAAAACCATCGACAAAATCGCAAAGGACAAAAACCAAGCCCTATTACTTCTTTCCTTTCCTTATATGCTTGCTACCAATCACATTATGAAAATCACGAACAACAGAACGTCCTACCAAATCTTTCTCAAATATATGAAAATCTGCTTTTTCCCCACTAGAAGGAGAAGAAGGAGAATCCTCTAAAACTAGCCAGGCAATTTGAACCAAAACAGAGTTTTTCACAGACTTAGCACATGGTTTTTCATTTCAACGTTAGACATAACAGAAATAGGAATATTAACAAAATTAACATTGCCCTCAAAGTTATCACTGGAAGCTAAGGGTTCGTTTGGGACGGCTTTTTTATTGCTTTCTAAAACGGAGTTTTAGTACAAATTTTTTTATTTTTGTACTAAAACTCCGTTTTAAAAAGCAATAAAAAAGCCGTCCCAAACGAAGCCTAAATTCAATCGAGCCTGCTTATCCAAATCCAAATTAATAGAAGAGTAGGCAGCACCAAATTAACAGAAGAGTAGGCAGCATCCTGATTCACGAGAGACAATTTTTGAATCAGAAAAACAGAAGAATTAGACTACTCAGCGACCACACAAGGCACTTCAGCCACAGCCAAATCACATAGGGCAGACACAGTACCCGCACAAGACAAAACATGTTTAAAATTAACACCACAATTAAATTCACCAATGCCACTAGCACATAACCGAGAGACCTTGGCAACAGACTCGACCCCAACCACTACAGAATCCACTTGAGCTAAAATAGGAGCATTAATCGCAGGTTTATCTCCCTCAAAAACCTCCACATTTCCAGCAAAATTCGCTACAGGGTCACAATCTACAGCAACCATAGTAATAAACAGCACAACAAGGGAAGGGGGAGAAGATCTAATCAAAGCAGGATTCACAAACGATAAAGCAATAAGAAACAACAACTACATTGGGACTTGAATTAATAAGAGAATTATCCCCTAAATCATCAATAACTTTTCCCAAAACCTGCCCAGCATGCACGATAGGACCAGGTTTAGTAACAGCAATAGACGAGTCAGCCGAAAGAGGAGGACGACATTTCCCAGCCACATGGCCTATGCATTTACAAGAAGCACAAAAGTGAGGGAATTCATTAAAGGTAACATCCTACACATACCCTAAACTTTCAAAACCTAACCAAACCTAGTTTGGATATGATTTAGTTATATCTAGCTCAACAAGAACACGAGCTACGGAAGGTCGAGAACTGGTAGAAGTAGCCGCATAAATTTTAGAGGTTTACCAAAAATAGCTCCCAAACCATGAAATATACGAGGGGTATAAAGTTGCAGACGCAATTGCAGAAAAGATACTCAAATCGGGATAACAGACAACTCAACACCAACATCTAAGCTGGGCGACCATTTCGTGAGTTTCATTTAACAATTGAAAACAATGAAGGATCAATGACAAAATACCCTATAGTAATCAAGATCATTCGTAAGCTTAATCAGAATGTGCGATGGGTCAAGCAAAGTGATGGAAACTTCACCGTTTAATTTTAGGTTAAGGAAAAACTTGCAAATGGAATCAAGAGAGGGTCGGTTAGAAGGGAAGAAACCAATTAAAGAAAATTGGTTTCCTAGTCAGAAATCCAAAGGGAAGGTAAACCACAAAAAGTTGAGGTCCGCGGTTCCAAAAATATGTATATTATGGATATTTACATACATAGCATCAAAACTCCATCATTTGCATAGTTAACACCTGAATGTTCCTAAGTCCAACATGATCTCCATCACCATCACTATCAAGATCCTTGTCATAACCTCAAGCTAGATCCTAATTGAAGCCTCCTCATTTCTGGCATCTGACCTATGTGAAATATAGAGTTTTTGTTTGACTTAGGAGGGGAGCAATTATTACGTCCGGTGAAATCCGAACGTATCCGAGTATCCGAATGTATACTAAGTCCTCAATACCGAGTTTTAGGTGACATGACACGTGATTATTGGTCTCTGAACGCATTCGGTGACCGGACGTAATAATTGCTCCTTAGGAGGGTGGTATATTTTCAATGTAATATATCATATCTATAGATTTATTATAAAACTATTGGTGACGAATGCCTCCCTTAACCCTAAAGTTCAACTGTTGTGTATGTGGATTAGGTGTGAGTAGCAAAGCTATTTGCACATATGCTATCCGCATTTAATAAACTTTTTTATATTTTATGATTTATAATGTATGATGGCATTTTCATAAATGAATTATATTCCCCCATTATTTGAATTATGATATGATTATGTGTGTTTATGTTATTATCTTTTGATATGTGCAAGAATAAGTATAGAAATTTAAAAAAATGCTATTAAAAATATTTTTGATATCATGATTCAATATCTTAAAATTTGGATTGTTATAAGGAAGCTAATATTATGTGGGTAAAATAGTTAGTGATACTAAAAATATTACAAAATATATATTTATATAATTGAAAGGCAAAACTCCAAATAGAAAAAATAGTTAGTGGTGAGGTAAAAATATATAATAAAAAAAAAAAGATTTATTATGAAAATATATTTAGAATTTAAAATTTTAAAAAATTGATAAAGATATAGAGGGCCACATAGGAATGCTAAGAAAATAATATGTAAAGCATAAAATTTTAAATTTTAATGAATTATATAATAAATTAGATACAAAGGAGAATAAAATATGTATATATAAGTTAGTTAAAGAAAGAGATAAGAGAGGTAAAGATTTAGTTCAAATAAAGTACATTAAAGATGAAGATAGAAAAATATTTTTCTTAGAAGATGATATTTAAAATATAATGATGAGATATTTTAATGAAATTTTCAATAAAGGTTATGAGAACACAAGTTATTTTAGTGGCCTTAACACCATAACTGAAAAAAAGAAAAAAAATCACATCATTAGTAAAATCAAAGTTGGAGAGGCTTTAATAAAATAAAACATAAAAAACATTAGAACCAAATGAATTTCGAATAGAAGTATGAAAATGCTTAGGGGGTAAAGAAAATTTCTTGATATACTAAACTTTTTAAAATTATTTTGAAGACTAAAAATGTCATATGAGCGGAGAAATAGTGTTTTGATTCCTATCTTTGAGAATAAATGTGCAAAAAATATGTTAATTATTAAAGAATTAAGTTAATGTGTCATATATTAAAATTTAGCATAGGTTACAATGTGAAACTAATGTTTCTCAAATCAATTTGGATTCATGCCGAGCAGGTCTGCTATGAAAGCTATTCCTTTATTGAGACAGATTTGGTGGAGAAGTATGTAGAGAGTTAGGATGATCTACATATGATATTTATTGATTTAGACAAAAAATTTATGAGACGGTGATAAGACCTACAATGCTTTATAACTCATAATGTTGGCCATTAAAAGAGAAGGATAAAAGTAAGTGTTGCAAATATAAGGATGCTGAAATGGATGGGTGGCTTTATACCTCAAGACTAAATGCGAAACAAATATATATGTGAAAAAATTGGAGTGGGTCCAGATTAGATAGTCTTCTTAGATAGTTTGGTCACATAAAATGTCAGCTTTTCAATGACACTCTTAGGAGAGTAGATGTTTTAGATCCAACATATTTTAATAACGGTAGATGTAGGTTAAAATTATTAAAAATGATCATTTTTTATTAGATTTAAATAAAAATTCGACTCTCAATAAAACACAAATTAAAAAAAAAAAATATTCAGATAGCTATCCTCACGTAATGAGATAAAGACTTGTTGTTATATAAGAAAATGTTAAACTGACATCAAAATCACTAATACATAACTAAAATACAAATAAGATCCACAAAATAACATATTAAAAACATTAAAAATATATACCCCTCACATCAAATCTCAACTGCCTTAAGAACTATACTCCAAAGAGTTGAAATACTAATAGATGAAGAGCTTATTAATACAAAATTCAAGGAAGGACATCAACAATATCAACAAAACTCTTCATCAATCCTGAAGAATATTACCATAATTCTTGAAAGATGCCTCTAAATGTTTGGTATTATTTACATAACTGTCTTATTAAAAAATGAAAACCACCAAACAAATATTAAAAAGACAAACTAACTCTGCATAACAAATGTCATCTTAACCACAAATAATTAATCACTTAAAAAGAAAAAAAAAGTACATAATGCATTAAACAATACTGAAAATATGAACACATGACTAAGGTTTCATTTAGAACCGCTTTATTATTGCTTTTTAAAGCAACTTTCTACTACAAAAGTTTCAAACTAGAAACTTTTGTACTTAAAAGATATTTTAGAGAACAGTAAGAAAGCTATCCCAAACAAAGCCAAGTCTTTTTTTGAGACAGCTTTCTTCTTGCTTTCTAAAGCAGCTTTTCCATACAAAATTTTCTTAAACTCAAAATTCTTGTACTAAAAAGTTATTTTAGAAAACATTAAGGAAGCTATCCTAAACGAAACCTAAGACATATTGTCGAATGATCATACCATGTGAATGATAAATTGAAAACTACTTGCAACTAAAATCAATGGAATGATACAAATACCAGCACTCAGTACTTTTGCTCTTAATGCTCTTATAAACATTATATAGTATAGTAAATGGATTAACGGGAAGGTGTTAGCAATTAGGCAGAGCTAGGACTGTCTATCAGCATCAACTTGCAGCCAGTTTGATAATGTAAGAAATGATAGCAGTACTGATCCCCAGAATTGCACCTGCGACAACCTGAAAAGAATTTTATGGAGGAAGAGAAGGGAGAAGGTTAATGGAACTAAACCGAGCAATTCTCCATGGTTTTGTTTCATTTTGGTTTTCAAGTCATAGGAGAAACTTACATGGAAAAATTTGGCTTGAATAGGCACAGATTATTTCAAAATAAATCACTTTTTATTCATTTAGTTCAGTTTGTTTCATAAAAGCGTAATCAAACAGAGAGGCTTTATGTGTTATAAAATGAAGATAAAATCATTATTTATAATAGAACAATTCAATCTCTGCAAGATCAAAACTGAAACAAACAGAACAATCCAGTCTTCACAAAATAAAAAACAGACTGAAACTATGTTTGATTGTTCAGCTTAGATGGTTTTTTCAGAGACAAAGCTTCCAGTAACTCTCATGACTAGGGAAGGTTCAAAATATAACATTGAAGAACTTCATCAGCCATTTTTTTAAGTTATAAGGATTAGCTGACCAGGTATATTTACAGAAATCTATGAAAAGGAAAATGTGAAGAATGACCAATACTTTAAAAGCAGCAAAGCATTCTTTTTTTCTGCAAGTGCAGGAAATAGATGAAGTGTGAGATTGAATTGAAAGCCTGGCTTCATGAAAAAAAAAATCATCCAACCTGGGCTGGAGTGTGACCAAGGAGTTCTCGAAGTGGCCTTGTTTCAGCCAAAGGATGCTCTGCAGGAAGTTCGTAGACAATCTGATTCAACACCTGAAATTCCACAGGCAGCAGAATCATGAAAATGTTAAGACATCAAATTCCCAGCTAAATACAGGGCAGAATATTATCAATTTTCTCTCTTATAGGAGGTACATTGTGATAGGAAATACTTGAGGTCACAAGTAGTCCAAGAGGAAATACTTGAGTTCGCAAGCAACCCTAACAATAATTGGTAAAAACAGCAGGAATAATGTGAAAATCTGGATGAAATCAATCCAAAACGATAGATTGTAACAATGGAATCAAAGCAAAAGCAAACACAAAGCAAGATACAATTGATCCTCAATTCGAGAGGAGGATCGTTCTCTCCCAATTTCTAGACTATGGATCTAGAGCCCAAGATGCTAAAGAAAACTCCAAGAGAACAACTCAAATCATGCATGCCCTAATCCTAGCCTCCCTCTTCTTTTAAATACATATCTTCCTAATAAAAAGCCAATAAAAAGCTTCCTACAATAAACCAAATTCAAAATAGTTTCCTATGTGTTAGCCGCCCCCTTCCCTCTCTCTAAATTCCGCCCTAGGGGAGCCCACAAGCCTTGGCGGCTTGTTTAAGGAGGTGGCTTAGCCCGCCTCCTGTAGACCTGAACCGGCCCAGGCATGGCCAGTTTGGTCGGTTCAGGAAGAACCGTATCACATGGTTAAGGTTAAAAAAAAGGGGCTCACATCCACCATAGGTCTAAAGCAAGAGAAAAATATTTTTCAGAAAGCCAAAACCAAGCGTTTCAGCAGTAAGCATTTGATATGAAATATAATAGATTCAGCTTTTATAGGAAGATTTAGCATCCATCAATCAATATAAGGAATGGATAATATCTAAACACTGGCAAATAAACTTAAAACCTACTGTTCGTTTAAGGATACAGAAAATTGACTCTTCCTTGAAAATAAAAACTGTTAGACAATTTGTTCTCTACCAGACAGGAAAAAAAGAAAAACTTAGAAGGGTGCTTGGCTCCAAGGAGTAGGAGGCAAGGAAAATGCATTCTACTATATAATTTTATAGTAGGCGTTTGGTTTCAGTGTAATTAACATGTAGTTAGATTTACCTTAGAAATGTGAGAATATCTTTATCCTAAATAAACTGTAAAGAAAAATTAATCTGTTCATTAACTCATATCTCAATTGACCTCAGCCAAACAAATTTCAATTCAATTTCTTTGCCATTTTCATTCCCATTTACTTTTCATTTCCCATCCAATTCTTTCAAAACAAGTAGAGCCGTAAGGTCTGCTTGTTTTTGGTGAGAATGCAAATGCATTTTATTTCTAGATTTCATTTTAGGCGTTTGATTCCAAAGGAATCACTATGTACTTAAGTGTACATGGGAAATGCAAACAAATGCATTTTTGTATTAACATTTCCCTACTCAACCTATTAGAAAAACACAAGTAAAAATTATCAAGTCAACTCTGTAACTCAAATATTCTCTCTAACAAAGAATTAATTTATCATCAACCAAACATGAAATCAAATATATATATTATTTCATTTCAACCAAACAAGTGAATGCAAACTATTTTCGAAGCAATTCCTTTATCATTTCCATTTTTAATTCCTTTCTATTTCCTCTCTTTCAGTTCCTTCAAACTAAACAGGGCCTTAAAGAATCAGCACCTCGGAGTTCAAATTGGGAAGTCTCCTTTTTCTTTGAAATATATGCAAATTCGACTGTAACCCTCTGCATATATAGCAAAAAGCATCAGAAGCTTATAATTCTTTGGATGATCCATGGCAGGCTGTTCAGGTCTGCCAAGCCTAGAAATTTTATTGCTTATGAAAGAAGATCCATGATTTTTTGCATTTCAGGTTTGCCAAGCTTAGCATCTTCATTCATCATGAAAATGGTGAATATAACTACAAGATAGAACGCATGACAAACTAAATTATTATTCATAAAATTAGAGGCGGTGCGCACAAGATGAAGGGCTTTCTCTCTAGTACAAATCAAAATCATGGGCAGAACAAACGTGAGGCACCACTAAAACTCAAATAGTCACCATAACCAAGTCTATTAATGTGGGGAAAGAGTAGGTTTGAAACCATATTCAGTAAATCTATAAGCTCTTCCCATTGAAATCATATACAGCTACGTCCAGCTAGAATTACTATGAAAAAAAATTTTGAAGGAAAGAAAAAAGGATTAAAATGATCCCTCAACTCTTTGTGAGGGACCAAAATAATCCACAACTCTTTTGAGGGACAAATTTGGTCCCTCAACTATTTAAAATGGGACTTTTTGATCCTAAAATCTTATGTTGGAGTTAATGAGATTAAATATAAGGGTAATTTGGTTATTTTCTAATTAAATATTTATTAAATATAATTTTAAAGTAATTATAATTTTTTTTAAATTATTAAATGTTTCTTTTTAAAAAACTTAATAATAATTTTAGATTTAATTTCAAAAAATTTAGTCATATTTTATAAAATATGAATGATGAAAATATGTGTGACTAAGCTGAAAAAAGAAAATAACATCTATTTGCATTTGATTTCTTTAAATCAATAAATATCATATTTTATAAAATATGATTACAATTTTTGAAATTAAAACTAAAATTATTATTAATTTTTTTATTAAAAAATATTTAATAAAAGTTTTTTAAAAAATTAAAATTATTTAAAAAATAATATTTAATTAAAAATGACTAAAATACTCTTATATTTAATACTATTAATTCTCATATTAGATGTTAGGATAAAAAATATCTTATTTTAAAGAGTTGAGGGATCATATTGGTCTCTCAAAAGAGTTGGAGACCATTTTGGTCCCTTACAAACAGTTGGGGGACTATTTTGATCATTTTCTTAAAAAGAAAATATTGCAAGTTGTGCATATGTGCTTGCATATTTTTAATAGCTTTCATCATGAATCATTTCACATAAATATTTATATTATTTTCAGTTGCGATAAGGCTAATAATGCTAATGCTTGTTGATCTATAGTAGATTCTATTGTAGTAACCATTTCTAAATTTATAAAAAAAAAACTAAAGAGATAGCCTTGTAGAATTACATACTGTTCAGGATTCGAACGTTTAAATTTTGGCCCATTTAACCAAAGTCTTAGTCTTCTACAATTTCAACAATAGGTTTGACAAGTGAGACAAAATAGTTACAGAATCAGCCTGCTCAGGGATTCAAGCAAACCATTTCTTGATTTCTCGTAGTTGACTAACTAGATTAGACAATAATAAATCTATCTTGTAATATATTCAGCTAATTTTAATGGCGCTTTTTTTTCAAAAATAAGAATTATACATCTATTTACATTACATACTGACCTTTTGAGATAATCTCAATCCAATATATGTATAATTTGTTTAAATATATCAGAATATAAAAAATTCTAAACTCAGCACCAGTGTTTGACGCACAATCAAATGATATTTAATTTTGTTATACAAAAATAGAAGATTTAAATAATGATAGCATTTGAAGTTTGTCATACAAAAAAGTTACCTCTGCCTGTTTGCCAGCATGCAACCGAACTCCAAAAGCATCATACATCACCTGCAATCAAAAGGCATGCATCTTAGGTTGTAAATGCCAGAAAGTAAATGTGACTTAACGGATGACATCTTGCATTCTCATTCATAGAAAGTTTCTGCAAAGGGCAATCAATCTCTTGACTTACCATATATGGAATGTGATAGTAAATACTTGTAGATCTCTAGTCTTTCCTATCAATCTTTGGAAACAGCGAGAATTCTCCACAAAATTCCACACAAAACCACGAAACTGTGAATAATTTGTATTATTTGACGAAAGGGAAACAAAAAATACCAAGATACAATTGATCCTCTATTCGGGAGGAGGATCTTACTCTCCCAAATCTCTAGAAGCCGCTAGAGCCCAAAGAAACTAAAAGATCTCAAATTTCAAACAAATTCAAGATGCCCTAGCCCTAGGAAGACAAACTATTTAATACATACAAATCAAAACAAAATCTCTAAACAGTCCCTACATTCAAATTTCCCTCCTAACTCCCTAAAAAATCCTTCCTAAACAGCTCACGCATGCCCGGGCGTGCGTTCGCCGCGTACAGGTGACGAACATTTCTGTCTCTGTTCGCGTAAGCCAGTCCTATCGGATTGGCTGAACCAGTCCTATCGGATTGGCTGAACCAGTCCAATAGACCTGTCTAACAGAATGATATCCAAGTATGTATGTCTACCCAATGCTAATATAGACTCTCAACTCCAAGAATATAGGCAAAATTTTACTTGCCCGTCCAGTGAAAAGGGTTTTTAATAGGCTTTCAAATGAGGAAGGAATCGTGAATCAGAAAACTACAGAAACAAAACGCAGCACAACATACGGGTGTAATTCATCAAATTGTGTTTGGAACTAAAAGAAAAATAACTCAAGCGGGGCTTAGTCATATCAACTTTCCAACACATAAATCTATATTACGATAAAAGAACTTTCTATACCATAATGGTGAGGAGAAGACTATGATGTGAATTTATTTAAATGTTATAATCAGGAGTCGTTTTTAATCTCATATACAAGTCAAAATGACTGGTAATGGGTCTCCATTATTTTTATTCAAAAAATCCCATGAACATTGTACACTACGATTCAAGTCATATTGATTTGCCAATAATCATATCATTTTAGTTGACTGATAATTTCTTTATTCAACTCTCATGGGTCTGATAATTCTTTATTCAACTCTCAATGGTGTATGCTTGGTTGTTTCATAAATCATATGCATGCAACATACAATAAGAGCTAATATAAAAAAAAATATAAGTTTTATGATACGTCGTAGAAGCGAAAACATCAAATAAAAGAGAAAAAAATGCAGGAAAACCAAGATAGGGCTGATTTTTTTATTATCTCCTCAACAATAAAGCAAAATACAATTGATCTACTATTTAAGAGATAGATCAGTTCTCCCACAAACTCTAGACGCCACTAGGAACTCACAATAATACTAGGAAAATAAAACTCATCAATAGCCTAAGCTAAACCTGTAAAATCCAAAATCGATGATCGTAGGCATCGCTAGCATTTTGATGCATCGCGATGAAATTTAAGTGAAAATTTTGAAGTTAACGGATTTCGACGGAAATAATTTTATAAAATTCTAGGCAAAATTCTAAAAAATTTGGTATATAGAACTTATATTTAATTTTGTTTATTTTGGGAAATAAAAATTTTAGAACTTTAGAAATACACAAACTACCCCTAATCCTTTCTTAAGTCGAAATGATTTAAGTGAGGGCAAAGTGGTCTTTTAGAATTTCCTATTCCTCTATGTAATGAAAACCGAACCCCCCCCCCCCCCCCCCTCTTTCTCTTTTTTTTTGCACCCCCCGCGGGGGCGGGGGGTTTTGTTCGGCCAAACCGAGAGCGGGCGGACGGCAAGGGCGACGAGGGTTCGGCGGAGCGGCTCCGACGACGATTTTCCTGCGAGGAAGTTTGAGGAAATCGTAGAAGAAACTAAGGGGAAGAAGAAAGTATGATTACTTTAAGCATTTCTCCTCTCATTCTTTAGATTTTTGGAAGAGAAATTTTTAGGGTTTCCTCCAAATTTATTTTTCTTTCAAAATCTCTTCATGAAATCATTAAGGAAGCATAGGGAAGATGTTTTAATAGTGAAAACGAAGTTTTCTTCATAAATTGTTGAGATTTAAAAATTAGGGTTTTTGGCAAAAATTGAAATTTCTTATAGTGCTTTTGCAAAAGTGATTTCTATGGGACTTGAGAATATTTTTAAAACAAAATTTTGAGTTTTCTTAAGAATTTATATTTTTCATAATTTTCTAATTAAATAAATCCAAAAATGATTAAGGTAATTATTAAAATAGGTTTATGGAAAATTTTGGCATATTGATTTGATGAAATTGATGATTTAGGATTTCTAAAAATTAGGGATTTTAATAAATCTGAAAATTCAAATTAAATTATTTCAATTTCATTAAGTGTCGTAAGGATCGAATAATAAGAAGCGAAAAATTTAGACAATTTGGAAATGATTAAAACTTTAAGGAAGATTTATAATTGACACTTATTTATATGTGATTGTTAGATTATGATCTTTAAGGGGAGCGAAGCGTGTCAAAGCGACACTATAAGGAAGTAATGTGTTAAGGTAGATACTCATATCTATCGTAAAAATTTCATATATTATTTAGTTCTTTTTATTCAATTGCAAATGTTTAAAGTTTTAATGTTCAGATAGTTTATGAATTCTATTTTGCAAATGACATGTTAGTATAATCTTTTTATTTCACTAGATTAGTAAACTTACACATTATTCATAATTTTCATGTTTTGAGCTAATGATTTATAAATCATGATTGTTTTTCATTAAGCATATGATTGACTGAAAAATAGATATGAAACTGTGCATGTTGATACGGAGTGCCCAAATGGTAAAGGGGCTCATCAGAGCCAAATGATAAAATGGCTCATCAGAGCCAATGGTAAATGAATGGCCAAATGATATGAAAATCTGTACCTGATCAGTACAAAATCTATGGGTACCTCCGAGACGAGTGTTATAGTAAATATTATGTATATTATGGTTTATAAATATTGTCTATGCAAAAACGAAAGTTTATGTTTGAGAAAATGTTAAATAAAAGACTGAAAGTTTATGTTTGAGGAAAGATTTTGAAAATGCTTCTTATACAGAAAGGTTTTAAAATTATGCAATATTGATCGTCGTTTAAAGTTTTCATACGAAAAAGATGTTTTATTATGGTTTTATGAAAATTTTTATGAGAAATATGAATTACCTGTTGAGCGGGTAAGCTCACCCCTAGTTGTGAAATTCTTTTTCAGGAGAACCACTACGAACTGATGGCAGAGAGGCAGTTTACTTACCGATGTAGGATTGGACATCAGAGTGATAGGTTTTTCTTTCAGTTTGTGTTTTGTGTGTGCAAAGATTAGAAGGTGCATTTTTAAGAACTTTGGACATTGATATAATGGACTTGTTTAGTTTTTTATGTTTATGAAAGACTTGTTAAAGTGATGAACAGTATAAATTTAATTGTGGTTTGGTGGCTCTTTTATGTCTTTTTGGAATGTACTTTATAATGTTTATGATTGGATAAATGTTAATTTTTACTACTTATCGTACAACTATCTGTTCCCACCCCGTTAATTTGAGCTAGCCGGGCTGGGTCGTGACAAAATCCTAGACAACTCCCCCATAAATAGCCCTAGAACACAATAATATAAATAGAACCTTCACAATCATCACAAATATAATTTAGGAAACCTTTTTAAATAATTAGGCCCTTCCTAATTAGCCTAAACATAATTTAGGAAACATTTATAGCCAATTAGCAACATAAAGACCTTCCTATTTCTTTCACTTCATTATAGAGTAAATGTTAATTTTCCTGGGCCTCACAAGAGGGGCCGAAACCCCCTCAATGCTAATGCTCTGGTTCCCGCCCAACGATTTTGCTTGGTTCGGCCAATCTAGGTCGGTTGGCTGGCTCCCGCCCTCCTCAGGCATAAATATTTACTTATTTGCAAACCTCATTTCCTTGATGGCCTTCTTTCTTCCGTTCAGGCTAAGTTCACTAATGTAATTTTCATCCATTAGTGAAAGCATTCTAGCAAAAATGCACACACTTGTAATCTCCAACAAAATGCATCTAAATGGATAAAGAAGCAACTAAGAAGAAGGCTGAGGAGGCGCCTTCAAAGATTTGCTTGTTGGGAGCGCAGCCTTCTCCTTGATCGACAATTGCATCTTCTTCTCCACCATCACCGATTTTTTTGTGACGGGTGTCCTCGAGCGGATGGGCATCGCCGCGTCAACACAAGTCCTTTTGGTGGCAAGCTAGTCGCCAAAACAATTTATAAATAAGCCAACATGACACAAACACATTTATATGGTAATCATTTGATTACAAGTGTGCAAATTTCATGAATACAAATATAATTGGTTGTGCTATTTTGAGCTAATTAATTTGTACATGCAAATTTTCTAGGAAGCTAAACATGACAATTAAATCTGGTGTTGGAAGTCCAATGATACAAGTGCTACATAAATTATCAAGTTTAGTTTAATTAAGGTTTTTTTCACAATTTTATCAAATTTATTTTTTTATCTATCCATTTCACATTTCAATAGTGCTAATTATATCCATCTCTTATTGGAACATCTTTTGACTTCCATTATTCATGCCCCAACCATATAAATAGCTCTTTTTTCCACTTCTTCTCTAGATATGGGCATAGGCCCAAGGAACCGCTTGACTTAATAAGCCCTACCTAACCATTTTCTAGGCTTGTTTAATAATCCAGCCCCAAAGCCATAAAATTTATTCAACCCAACCTACTAGCCAACTTACAGTTTTAGGTTGGATCCTCGCAAGGGAAACTCCTTGCAGATAGGCCCATTAAAAAAAAAAAGAAAAGAAAATGATCAAAATAGTCCCTCAACTCTTTGTGAGGGACCAAAATAGTCCCCAACTCTTTGAGGGACCAATTTGGCCTCTCAACTCTTTAAAATGAAACCTTTTTTATTCTAACATCTAATGTTGGAGTTAATGGTGTTAAATGTAAGAGTATTTTAATTATTTTTTTAATTAAACATTTATTAAATATAATTTTTAAGTAATTATAATTTTTCTAAAAAAATTTATTAAATGTTTCTTTAATAAAAATAAAATAATAATAATAATTTTAGTTTTAATTTTAAAATTTTAGTTATATTTTATAAATATGATATTTATTGATTTAGAGAAATCACATGCAAATAGATATTATTTTCAACTTAGCCATACATAATTTTACCAATCATAGTTTATAAAATATGACTAAAACTAAAATTATTACTAATTTTTTTGTTTAATAAACATTTAATAAAAAATTTTAGAAAATTATAATTACTTGAAAATTACATTTAATAAATGTTTAATTAAAAAATAACCAAAATATTCTTACATTTAACACCATTAACTCCAACATTGGATGATAAATAAAAAAAATCTCACTTTAAAGAGTTGAGGGATCAAATTGGTCCCTTTAAAAAGTTAGGGACCATTTTGATTCCTCACAAAGAATTGAGAGATCATTTTTTATATTTTTCTCTTAAGAAAATTTAGATGCAAGCTGATCACGTTGAACTGATCAAAGACAAAGTGGTAGTAAAAAACCACTAAACAATATCTGATTGAGTCGAGCTTAAGAAAGGGCTGAAGGTGCTTTGATACAAGTTGAACTTGCTTGAAACCTTTCAGGCAATCAATTGCTCATCACTACTTTCCAATAGATCATACTCACAAAATCACTTTAATATAATCAATCTCATTCTATATTTACCAACTTTATCACTCATTTCAACATTCTCAATTCTACCATACTCGCTATGTTTGGCTGTTGATTACAACAATGTTGCCCAACACTACGCTTAACGGTGAAAACTGGTATATTATCACTATAGATCTGCCTATTTATAACTCGAAGACCAAATAAAATGTACTAGGGCATACCCAAATAACATACATCACTCTCCAAATATCTAGAACTTGCCTACTAAATATAGTTCTACACGAACAGCTAGGTTCAAGTATGGAAAATCTAATTAGTTCACCTTTTACGAAGTTAACCTTTAAGTTTTTATGACATTCTTTTAATGCATATAATACTCATGAGCCACTCTCCACTTTACTTGCGCAACTTTGACAATAAGTTATGTCTCTAATAACCCCTTTTTTCATATGTTATATTTGAATTATCATACCTTGTATCAATTTCTCTTAACACTACTTTAATATAATTATCAACTTGACATTGATGGAGACATCAGATTACGACACATGTACCTTCAGGAGATGCCGGAGATCGACAGCCACGATCATGATCTTTATTTTCATCATTTTATGTAGTAGTTTAATTTTATTTTATGTTTTTCCGTTTTTTCCCTTATGGGTATTTGGTAGCTATTGTAGCCCAAGGGGCATTTTTGTCTTTTGTTTTTCTTTGTCATTGTGAGGCCTATTTATATGGCCCTTCTCTTGTAATAGTGGAGGATTGATGAAGAAATGAAATTTTCTATTGTTTGTTCTCTTTGTGAGTTCAAGAAGATCTCTTAGTGAGTTCTTCACATGAGATCTCTCTGTGAGTTCTCTTAGTATTAGCATCCATTGATCTTCTCCTCGTCCACAAACGCCACCATCCACATCAACAAGTGGGAAGAAGCCGGCCTCCTCCACACTTGCTGTCACCTTGGAGCCCCACCCGTCGGCCACCACAATCCCGCCGGCCAACCACTTCTCTCACCCTCCCACCAAGTAACTTGAATTTATGATCAATAACTCCCCTCTTTAATTTGGGATTTCAAATTTAAAATTCCAAAATTTTCCCTCCTAAATCCTTTGAAACTGAAATCAATTTCAGTTTCTCAACCTAATCCCTCTCCTCTCCCCTAGATCCACCGTCGGCCCCTTCCTCCTCTCCAAACCGGCCCCTCTCTTCTCTCTTGGTTCATTGAGGGGATAGCTCGTCTTCAAGTTCATGGTGCATGGCGGATCCCGCCGTTGACTACGGAATCGAACTCGACACCTACGGCCACATTCACGTCCTTAGATCGCCTTTCTTTGACGTGGTTTTGGCTTCAACAATACCGTCGAAGATTACTTGGATCGGATCTTACCGACACTAGTGGACGCCTTCGAAGACCAATTCTCCGACTACACGTGGATCATCGAAAGTCATCCGCCCACTTCTCCAACTCCCACTTCCTTCCCGGCGACGAGTCCTCTTGGCATCACATGTGTCTTAGTGGTACCGCTAAGTTTTCTTGCAACCCTCTTCCGCTAACCTCCACTTCAAAGAGAGATTGTCGGACCTCAAGGTGAATGGTCTAAACTTTAAACGTGTGTGAAAGCTATTTGCGTTATTTAGTTATCTTTTGGTTATCTTTTGCAAGACTCTTGTAACTCTCAAGTGTAGTCAATGCCTACCGCTTAATCTCTCACGAATTTTCTTGAATCCTAATTGAGTAAGCTAAATTTTATTGTTAATGTTGCAAAGTTAAAGTTTTCACTAATCTCTGAATTGCAATTCTTGTTTCCATGCATTACGTTTCACATCAGACATCCACTAAAATTACATTTATCTTGTATTAACTACTATTTCACTAACGTGACTCTTACCTTCCATGATTATTTTTAGTGTTAGAGGAGACTAGAAAGACATCTGCTTAGGTGCTCGGGCCAGGCAAGGCAAGTCTCCAACGCCTCTTATGCCTTCCAAGTGGTTGCCATCACTGAAGTAATAGGCACCCAGGAGCTATCCTCCATAATACAATTTTTTTAATAATTTGTAAAGCATACATAGCCATGTTATGAGATGGAATGCTACTAAGGGGTTGTTTGGTTGGCTAAAAAAGAAATGTAGTGTAAAAGGAATGTAGCGTAAAAGGAATATTTTGAATTGTTTGGATGAATGAAAAGTAAATGCAAATGAATGTTTTTTTTTTTGTTTGATTTGAAGTAATGAATGTAGTGTAAAGTCAAAAATTGGTGGCGGCCGGCGAGGGAGAGGGCAATGGAGGTGGTGGTGATCGTCGGCAGGTGGCGACGTCAGTTAGCGATGGTGGTGATTGGCAGCAGGTGGGGGCGGCCAGCGATGGTGGTCGGACATCTGTGGAGGCGGACGGAGTTGGTGACAGGCGGCAGTGGCCGGAGGAGGATGGAGGCAGGCAGCGGTGATGGCGGGCGGCGCCGATCAGGCAAGCTTCATTGCAGTGTAAACTGTTCTCGCTTAAAATTGTGCGAGTTTGGTTTACCTCAAAAATAAACTAGAATGGTTTACACAACATTTACTTTGGATTTCTTTTTCATGCAATCAAACACCAAATTGTTAAAACCCATGCATTTAGAATATTTTACACCCTAATGTATTCCAACCAAAGAACCCCTAAAGCATGTAAATGATTCAATATATGGAATATATTATAATACATATATAAGGATACGCCAAAGATAAAATAGCTACAAACATGAACATACACAATTACATACAAATTTATTCATAAAACAATGGAGAAACTCACGCCTGAAAGCTCACAAGGCAAAAACAAAAAATAAAATAAACATGATCAAATACAAACAAAGAAAAATACACATATAAAACAAACAAATAAAAAAAAGCAAGCACACATATGTATTCATCGTCTAACCTTGTAATAACAGTGAGCAACGTTTTTCCAATTCTAAAATTATATAATGTGTTATTTAATTTATACAGGCACATGTGCACATACATTACATATTTATGTGCAGAAAAGTTCTAAAAAAAAAAAAGAAACGTAGAAAGTGATGAATGATACTTATCCTATAGGTATCCGTGGTAAATCACATTTTGCCATTTTTTTAAATCCTTATGGATGGCACGTATCTTTTCTATTGAAAACTTTAATTAGATAGACCAAAGTTTTTTATCTAAGCCCAACTATTTATGATTTTTTTTTTTCATCAGATATGTTAAATGGGATATTCAGCAGCCCATCGTCAAAGAGTCCACTTATTCAACAGGTTGGGATCCAGGTTAAGGCAGCACAAAAATATACTACTATCTAAACGCATCATCCTTAGGAGAAAAAAAAAGCACATAAATGACTTACAACACAAGCAAATACTATTGCAGCCGCAAAGAGAGAACTGCCAAAGCCATCTTGAAATCCAATAGCAATTGCAACAGCAGTAACTGTAGCAGAATGGGATGATGGCATCCCACCTGATCCAACAAGTCGTTTAGGATCCCAACGTCTTTCTTTAACCCTGTAATTATAAGAAAATTAAAATTCTTACTAAGATAGCCCATAACAATTATTAGTAATAGAGCTTCAGTATGATCAAGCTTGATGAAGTGTAGAGGTTCAGGAAATAGGTCTGCTGGCAAAACAGATGAGGTTGGGCAAACAATTTCAAGTAATCAAGAAATTTTTCACTTCTATTTACTCTTATTTGCCATAATTTAGTAACCTCCACAGCCGCGCCATACCCACCCCAAGGTAAGGGGCGTCTCCTGAGATTATGCCCAAGTTATCATCCTCTTTCCATGTTGCAAAAGATAAATGAAAGATCCAATTCATTAACTCCTTAAGCCTTCAAGAAGAAAAAAACTAAGTAGCTCTGAAAAATGATCCTATTCCAAACTACACAATACAAAAGATCCGAATCCTTATAAATGAGAGCATGGCTCTCCCTCATCAAGCCCGTTGGCATCATCTTGACCATATTTTTGCACAAATTTCAGACAATATACACCTACTCTACTTCTTTTTCTTCCAACTCCTCGAGTAATTCCATCTCCCAACTAAAGTGGTTCTGTGGTCTACATCCGAAAACTTCCTATGCCTTGAAAGCACTTCTTGCCAAGTAGCTTTGTTCTCCAGTTTCGCCCATTAAGGATAAGGAATTTGAAAAGTGGAGATTAAGCTTACCCGAGGAATGATAAAAGAGAAGACAAAATTTTAGAATAACATTGCATAGTTGTAAGAAGAAACATTTACGCTTCATTCAATAATTTTGAGTCAATGTTGTATTGTGTTGAAACAAAGCCACCACTATTTTCATTGAGATGAACAAAGCTACTTGGCAAGAAGTGCTTTCAAGGCAAAAAAGTGATGTGAAAAGTTTTGTTTTGTTATTTTAACAAGACATAATGGAAAGAAAAGGATTCATGTAACCGGTCCCACGTAGATAGAGGAATAAAGGCCTGATGTTGTTGTTGTTATTATTGGAGTACAAAATACAAAACAAAGCAATGTTTTTTTTCTCTAAAACTATGGTGCTTGACTATACTCGCCCAGCAGACATGATGGCCATGTCAAACTGCCATCTATGGCATCAGAAAGTAACTAAGATAGCCCCTTGGTCAACCAGAAGGCATCCTAGTCGCTATAATGAGAAAATGACAAGCCAAAGTCAATGATGGCAACAAGAAGAGGAGAGGTTGAAATCTACCATAAGAGGGGAGCACAAGAAGAAAACGAGTGGAAAACAAAGCTTGAAAGCTATTATAATTTAAAGGCTGAACAACTCAATTCATCATAATCATTAATAATCGACAATCCATAATCCTAGCTTGTGATTTTCTTTTATAGAGAGGAAACAAGAATATAATGTTAAAGTTTCCTAATAGCTATAAACTGTAAATACAATAAGAAATTACGAAGATAAACTTAGCCTAATATTATTAATGCCTAGCATCAAATCCCCCAAGGTCAAAATAACTCCTCTCACAAAGGGTTGCTGTAGACCGCAATGGAGAATGTGATGGAATTTGTTATGTAAAGTATTCAGATCATCTTATGAGAATGGATGTACATACTAACAAGATTATAAGCAGCAAACCAAGATAAATGCAAGCATCTGAGAGTTGTCTCTGATCTGGAAAGAAGTGATCTCTATAAGTTGTGAAGATTCAAACTCAATCTCAGGTGCCTCAATAATTGCAATAAAAGACTTGGACTCTAGCTCAGATTCTAGCATATCCTTAATCACTAGCTCAACTAACAAGGTCAATCATCATCATCATCTAATGGATACTTTGTTGTTTGACATTGTAGTTATGGAAGAATATTTTGTGTTGCATGTTCAAATTCTATAATGTTGCATATATATTTATGTTCATATTGTAATTCTTTGAGGATACTAAATATTTCTGGAATTTTTTCATTTGTGAATGGACTTTGATATGCATGTGCTGGCCCAGGAGGGGCCGGCTAGACCGGTCGAGCCCAGACCGGTCCAGGTCTACTCGCGGCGGGCGAAACAGGGAAGGAGGGAGGAAGCAAGGTGGGCCCATGGGGGGTTTAATGCAATCTTTTGGGGGGGAATTTTGAATGTAAGGGCTGTTTAGGTATTTTGGAGAAATTCATTATTGTTAATTAGGAGGTTTTGGGGGGAATTAGGATGAGGGAGAATTTGAATGTTATTTAGAGATCTAGGGTTTCTTGCTTGGGCTCTCGGCGTTGCCGGAGATTAGGAGAGTTGTTCTTCCTCTCGAATTGAAGAACATTGTATCTTCCCTTATTTTTATTCATCTACTAGTGGATTACAAGTCTATTGCTTGGTTTTCTCTCAGATTTTCCTACAGATTTCTCTGTTTTCTACTGATTTCATGCTGTTTGGGCTGTTTTCCTGCTGAAAACAGCAGATCTCTTGCTGTTTTCCACACCCAAATCGATAGGAATACTTGGATCTAAGTATTTCCTATCAGACTTCTTGAAACCTTTGAGATTATTATACAGAACATTGATCATGTTTATGTGAAGTACAATATGATTCATGAAAGCAAAAAGATGATTGACCAAAATACATATTAATATAGTGAGATTGATAATACCCATCATAAGAATGATAACGATCATGAGCGTCATATGAATATCCAAGTTGATGATATAAGTTGTGAACTTCAACCAGAAATACTTGCAGGTAAATAATGCTTATAATCATCATATCATATCATTGCTAATGTTGTTCATCATAAGCTCTCTAAGATTGTTTGGAATAATCTTTCTAATAATATAGATCATAAAATTATAACATATAAGAACCGGATGCAAAAAAAAGAAAGATGACACTAAATTGTCGATAAATATGAATAGCTTGAAATTGGATTACCTCAATTATCGTGTTGTAGGTAGTGATAGTGATGAATTTTGAAGCTTAATAAAATATTGTTTAAGTGGTGAAATTGCAAGCTTAATATTGTTCCCAATTGAAACTTTTCAGAGATCTTAGAATTCAACTACGATTAGGCAAGAGCTTACACCTAAATTAACAAGACCAGTAAAATAACAACGGTAATAAAAGTAAAGCAAATGAAAAGCCAACTCAAATCCCGCGGTTAACAAAGCGATTGTCTCACCTTGAGGCTGCACTCATTTACCTACTTCTAGGCTTGTTGGGAGAAGAAGAACCACACAAGTGATGAGACCACTCCGAGGGCGATGGTGCCGTAGATCCGTAGGGAAGGAGAGGACGGCGCCGGCCGTGGAGGTGGTGTGAAACGACGCCCTTCGACGATCCATGTGTAGACGGAAAAATGATCGTCGATGGACTCCACTAGGGCTGGTAGAATCCGGTCCAAATAGTCCTCGACGGTGTCGTCGAAGTCAAAGCCGACGTCGAAGAAGGGAGATCGGAGGATGTTCACTCGTCCGCGGTTGTCGTACTCAAACCCGAAATTCCACTCGGGTACCTCCATGCATTCTTGAAGATGCGAAGGGGTGGTCGCCGCAGCATGCATAGGGAAAGAGGGAGAAATTTGGGGAGAAGGGGAAGGGATTTAAAACTTGATTTGATGACGTGGCAAGGGATTTAAAACTCCAAATTAATTTGATTTGAAATTTATTTGCTCATGAAAACTTTCCTAATTTGGATTTCCAAATTAGGAAACAATTCAAAATTTAAATTTCAAATCTCCAATTTGAAGTTGATGGAGATATGGAATGAACCGTATGGGAGGGATCGTCGGCGAGGTGGGCGGCCAGTGGTGGTGGGCTTGGCCGGCGACGGGAAACCTTATGGAGGGGCCAGCGGCAAGAGCTATGGGGAGGGGAATTTTTGTAGAGCTTTCTTGTGAGAAGAAAATTAAGAAAAGCAAGTAAAAGAAAAGAAAGAATTAGAGAACTCACTAAGAGATCTCAATGGAAGAACTCACCAAGAGATCTTCATGCACTCACAAAGAGAACAAAGCACGGAAATTTTCATTCATTCAATAATAATCCCAAGTACAATGACAAAGCCCTTTTATATAGGCTAACTAGAAATAAAATGCATAAAGACGATAATGCCCTTGGGCTACACTAAGCACTAATTCCCTCATAGGGGTACAAAAGGAAGAACAGGAAATATAAATGACATGAATAAAATAAAGCATCAAAAGTAAAGGCTCTGAATCAAGACCGTCGATCGGCGTCTCCGGCGATGGTACACGTGTCGAAATCTGATGTCCCCATCAGATAGCCTCAAAATCCATGCCTTCTTGGCATGATCTCTTGCCAAATCTGATGGTAAAAGGTGTGTAATGCATTCGAATGACCAATCATGCAAATAGGAAACCGTGTTATGGCAATGCAACTACATCACAATGAATACAAGTAAAGATGCTTCACACGGAGATTAGACCGGCAAGAGTGATTATGTAGTTTGCAAGGCCATGGAAGGGGTTGAGCGAATATCTGGTTAGGTAGTTTCTAGTGGTAAATAACGAGGCAAGTGCAAGATTTGTATGTTCCTCCATTGGGGAATGGGTAGCACATGTAAAGGAAAGAATTGATTGAGATTGAGTGCTTGTGAAGATTGAATACAATGAATGCGTACATGTAAAAGAATGTGTTATATTCATAAACAAGAATGCAATCAAGTAACTACTCAAGCAGCGATGCAAGAATGAATTAAACATGAATGAGGTCTTACAAGTGCAAAGAGCGGATTTGGAAAACAAAAACAAAATTGAGAGTAGAGCGAAGGTAGCATGTGCAGAGGTATGCTTTACATAGGTCGTGCAATCAACAGGTAGTGCAGTTCCACTGCACGAGAGAGAGTTGCACTTGGGAGAGCTGAAAAGTGTTAATAACAAACATAGTCAAAGCAAAGGACTGAAAGTGGCAAGGTTGGAAGACAAGGTGGGAAAACTAAGAGTAAAATGATGGGGATTTTAGTTTTTTTTTTTTTTTTTGATGATGGGGATTTTTTTTTTTGATGATGGGGATTTTAGTTGGATAGTGGGATAAAGGCTTGATGTTGTTGTTGTTGTTGTTGTTGTGGGGATTTTAGTTGGATGCTAGTGATGATGGTTGTAGTGTCAATGAGAACATGTGCACAAATAGGAACGGTTTTGTTGATACCAAATTATGATGATGAGGATAGAAGTTGCATAGCACAAAGAGAACACTTTCCAACACAAAAAAGGATTTCCCCACATCGCTAATAAACTCATAATTCTTTAAGGCTCCTCTCTCCTCACCAAAGCCCAAGCCAACCCCACTAATCCTAAATTTAATCATTTTGGGTCGGCTTTATAAAACAACCTCGCCAACCACTCTACTGCTTCATCCCTTTCACTTATAGCCTCATCAACCATCTTTACCCTCACTTTACAAGAATTGACTGACTTTCTTTAAGCCATTAACTCCAATAAAGCCTAAAATAGCCACATCACAATTACATAACCAAACTCACCACCTCCCCTCCAAGCATCAAACAAGTCCTTGCATCAAGATCCCATTAGCACCTTCATCAACAATAACAATAATATCAAGCCTTTATCCCGCCATGTGGGGTCGGCTACATGAATCTTTTTTCTACATTATGTCCTGTTAAGAGTCAAGTTTTCATTCAAATCTAATTAAAAAAATGTCATTTTTAATATTTTCCAACCAAGTCTTTTTAGGTCTACCTATGTCTTTCTTAACATCGGTCAAATCTAATACATCTAGTCTCTTAACCGGGTCATCAGAATGCTGAAATTTTATGTGAGCAAACCATCTAAGGCAACTCTCTCTAATTTTACCTGCCACTAGATCTACTCCAAAATTTTCACATATATACTCGCTTCGCATTATGTCTCTAAAAGTGAAGCCACTCATCCACGTGAGCATCCTCATCTCTGTAATACTTAATTTTATGCTTCTCTTTTAATGGCCAACATTCCGCGTCATAAAGCATTGCAGGTCTCACCACCATCTTATATAAATTTCCCTTAAGTTTGAGGGATACTTTTCAATCACACAACAGGTCTGATCCATTCCTTCACTTCAACCATCCAAATTGAATTCTACTAATAATATCCCCATCTATTTCACCATCACTTTGAACAATAAACCCGAGATATCTAAAACGTGTGCTCTTATTAATGACTTGATCACCCAAATTCACAATCCCCTCACTAGATATATTACTCCATGTATTTGGCTTTAGATATACTCAAATGAAAACCTTTAGACTTTATGGTTGATCTCCATAATTCAAGTTTACTTTCAACTCCCTCTCTAGTCTTATCAACAAGAAGGCTATCTCACCAGGGTACCATTAGCACCTCCATCAAGAAGTCAAAATCAACGATGATGACCAAAAGAGAAGTTGGAATCCCCCACAAGATAGGAGAAAAAAAATAAAAGCTATAGTTTGGAGAGGGAGGGAACAATAAAATTCATCCGAACTCATTATTTCCTTTCATATATAAGAACTAAGATAATTGCAAAAAAAAATCATTAACAACAAGACGTTGCACATCCAATAAAGAATTACAAAAATAAACTAAGCCTATTTAATGTTGTTAATTTCATGCATTAGTGAGGTATCCGAATCGATTAATATGTGCTCCTGGACGGCCATGAGACTTTTGTGGTTAATCAAAAAAAGTTTATAATCAACCATGTAAAGTGGCGTGCCAAAAGAAACGAACCAAAAAGCAGTAAAAGCGAGAGGTCGAGAGCTGAACAATGGAAAGTGAGAGTCTGAGATGTGAAAGGTGAGTTTTGAAAGCTAGAGAATGAAAGGGTTCATAATTTTATTTGCACCCATGTACCACTTTATAGGATGTTTGAATCACGCGTAAAATTGAACTTAAGAGGTGTAAATTGGGAGATTGTGAAGAACGCATAATGATGAATGGAGCATTGAAAACATGTGTAACTGCTTTGGTACAAGTGGATCAGCGACCATCTATAACACATCGTTTTGAAAGCTCTTTTTAATAACATTGTCATTGCAAATGGGTTTTCCATGATTATGAAGCCATGGAGGAGGCGCACAATTAGCATAGCGCTCTTCGTTGCATATTTTCCGCACAAATCAAAATTTCAAATCTTTGATAGATATTTATGAAAAGAATAGTAGCTGATACATCACAACAAATGAGGTCTTAAAAACTATCCAAACCTACTTGGCAATTCCAGCCAATTCAAAAGTTGTCATGGCCAATATCGTACAATGGTTTTACAAGTTGTAACATATCGCTTTATATATAATGCATTATTAAAGATTCCTCATACTGCATGCTAGATGGTATGGAGTAAACCTAGAAAGAAATTGTTTTGGGTCATTCTTCAGCATCTTTTATTAGTGAAAATATGTCACTATGCCAATTATTGAATTAAACAAATCAATAGAAATTTAATAATTTATCATGTGAATAACCTATCTTCAAATATCAATTTTACCTCAAAATATATCTATCAACGATCAATTATTTATGGTAGAAGGCACAACAGAGAATGCTTGGGATGATAAGAAGCCCTTTCTTTATTACAATAAAAATTATATTAAAAAAATAAGAACTAGTTTAGGATATACAATTTTGACATGATATGAACAAAACAATAATCAAGAGATAATAGTAGAATCTTGAGCGTCGTAACTAGTTTTCAACATCAAAGAATTGTTATTCTATATCAAAGGAACCATTGCTCCTTAGAAGGATGGTCAACTAGTTTTAATATAAAAAAAATAAATGACCATTCTTTCAAGTAGTATTGGAAACTAATAATTGGTGACAAGCATATCATAAATGAATAAAAACATATCTAAGAAATTCTGATATATTGGTGTGGCTTAATCCCTTTAAGAACCCTCTTTTCAATTTGGGCTTGGTAAAACTCTTCCTTTACAATACTTTCTACAGATCCATGCTATCTTAGTATTTTGATAGATGTTTCATTCGGTGCAACACCTCCATACTCACTAACATTTTTTTTCATATTTTTACTCCCAAATCATCTCAGCATTCCCATTCTGTAATAAATAATAACTTTCTGTAATCATATGAACCATTGAGCAGATTGGGCTCCTTCAATACAAAAGTGAATCAAGAATAAAGTAGTTCACTTGCATAGATCATGATAAATTTCATCTGAAAATGAGACGATGACGGTTACAAGTTTTCTTCCATAATTTAACAACAGAATCTCATAAACCTAACCAAACTAGATTTTTTATGGTAAAGTTCCAATAGGAAAAGTTCATTCAATAATTTTCTTATGTAAGATGATTTGCTTTATCCAACAATGTAAATCTTGATTAAAATAGAGCATCCCCCATAATGCTTAAAAGTAACCATGGAAATTCAAAAACAAAGATTCATTTCGTTTCCACATACACAAAGAATTTTCATACTAAATAGCAGCTACAAATCTTCTTATCAAATCATGCCAACAATTATAATGGAGAAAATGGCTGAATTTTACAGTTATGGTGGATAATCAAAACCCTTCTTCCCCGCCAAAAATAGAAAAGAAACAAAGAAGGAAGTCTTATTCGGCCATTAGACCTCGATCGCTCGACCCTGTCTACAGACCAATGCCCGTTGGCCAAAATTACTTTCTCTTTGCTTCTAAGAATCCAAAGCTAAAAAAATTAAGAAACAGACCTCCACGCTCAATGCAACACCAAACCCATAAAGATCACCATCTTTTCTCCAAAAAAAGAGGAAGAATAACCTAAAACCCATGCCGAGGCCAGGTGTATATAAGGTTTCGCAGGGGTGAAAGAGATACCAAGTGGCGAAGAACTTGGTCGACTGCGCCAGTGCGAAGGCCAGCAGAGCTGAAATCAAAGGGTAATTCTGAAAGCCCGAAGAAGAATTGGACGACGAAGCCCTCGAAGAGAAAGAAGAGCTATCGGCGCCGCCCATGCGGGCCATTACCGCTTATCGCCTCTCCTTCGACTACCCTCGCTTCCTTCGCGGCAGAAATAACGAGGCAAACAGAAAGAGTTCTCTTTGGAATGCAAAGACTCGTTTTTTCACGCCCAACTGAGATCAAAGAGATGGTTTTATATTTTTCGACCAAGCTGGTATCAATCGGACGGTTGTGGAGAGTGGAATATCACCAGCATATACCTTGAGTTGAATCTGATAATGCGAATATGCCGCCATTGTAGGATTCTTCAATGAAAAGAGTCCTCGAATTAAGTTGGTGTTAATCAAATTCATGTATAAGAATTATTTTAGTTTGGCAAAAAGATATAAAATTTGATCATATGTCCTTTATATTATTTGATCTAAAATATTTATGAAACAATTAAAAACTATCTTATGATTATTCGCTTAGGTTTCGTTTGGGACGACTTTTTTGTTGCTATTTAAAGCAGCTTTTTTGTTAAAAATTTAATTTTTTTATACTAAAAAGCTGTTTTAAAAAGCAACAAGAAAGTCGTCACAAACAAAACCTTAATCTCTCCACTCAAGATCACTAAAATACCTTGTAAGGTAAATAGAATAAGTCAATTCTACTTCTATTATGCTCCCTTGAGTTCTCTTATGTTGCAATTGTAATGTAAAATTAATCTGAATTTAATCCCCCGACTTGAACAAATTATTCCTAATTTAACCCCAAAAAAATCAAATTTTAATCAATTTTGTATAATCTAAAAACTATATTTGAATAATATTATATTCTAAGACTAAAATGATCATATATAAATAATCAGGGGAAGATTTTAAAATTTAATCCTTTATTTATTTGAATCCGCATCAAGCATAAAAGATAACCATATTATTATGTGCGAACACCAAACGCCGTCCGAAAATCAATCAAAATGTGTCGCATCACATCGCCCCTGTGCTTGGTACTGTGGCTCGGTACTACTCAGTACCGCTGACGTAGCGCATTCTGATTGATCTCCGGATGACATTCTGCGTCCGATCTCCCTACAGAATAATTTCTCCCAGCATGAGAAACCTTCCCTGAAGGAGCAGTCATGCAAATACATTCATTAACACAGAACCTGTAGGTGTCTCTTGTACAAATATCACAACTTCTTTCTTCATTAATTAGTCAAAAAAATGCAGCAAATTGAGCAAAAATTAGTAATAAATAAAATGAATGTCCCAAGAACATGCATTCTCGAACAGAATCCTCAAAAGAGCTAAAGATGACAGAAGCTTTGGAAGCCATAATTGCCATTGATCAAAAGGAACCTCAACTACACAAATGATTTCAATCAACTTCATAATATTAGCTTAGCACAGTAACAAAAGGAAAAAAAAAAATTAAAAAAAAAAGTGCTAGAGATCATTTACAAAAGAACAGCTCCATCTGCATCCTTCTTCTTCCACTGAAACCACACAGCAAGAAGGGAAAATCAGAATCAACTAAGAAAGAACATGACTGGTGCCACTACCCAGCCTCTTCTGGATTTCTTCCATGACCAGCTGAAGAACAATTATACAAACCATTACAGTGACAACCAAACGTACCTTTCTTGCAGAATGAATTTGGAATAAGCCCCAAAATTGTATGGATACTTTATAAATACATGATGAACCAAAGGAATAATCTGAGAAACTTCTACATGATTGAGCAATTGCATTTGGATTCTAACTTCGGAGGCTTTGCAGTGTCAACTTGCCTTGGAATTTCGACTTTTGAAGCTCTGAATTCTTCCATATTCACATCATTTTCATTCTTTAATTCTCTAAGAGGAGACTTGGTCTGAGCCTCAGTTTTCTTTAGTTTGAACTTCTGCGATCTCAGCGTTAGCTTCTTGGAGATGTTTCCAGATTCTTCCCTCAGACCAGGGATCGGTTTTTCCATGAATTTTACAGTGGGAGGAAAATGCTCAAGGAGAGTCCCTTGGTCCTTCTCCATGGCAATGGTGGAAGCTCTGTAGGCTAGGTCATGAATAATGGAACTGCAAAAAAGAATGGTGTCGGTTGCTTCTTCTAACGTCAAGTTCCTTGATTGATGTCCTCTTGGACCTTCAACCATTATAGCTGATTCTCCTGTAAGAAGCTCAAGTCAGCCGCACAAATAACAGTCACTTCATAAAATTTGGAAAAAAAAAAAAACACTCACAAAATATGTTTTTTAAGAACCAAGCACAACAAAATATTGCAATTATAGAAACAAAACTTCACTTGTAACCTTAAAGTTGACAATTTCATGGAACAATATGTAGCATTTTACCTCCAACAGTTAAACAACTTGTCCTTCAATTATAAATTAATTAAAAAGTTAAAAGTTTACAAAAACTATAATATTATGATCATTATTGACTTTATCCCAACTATTTGGAATTAATTTTATGAATTTTTCTTTTATGTTCATTAAATTTATTCTTCACAAATCATTTTGAATAATTTTTATATATATAATTTTATGCGGGCTCATTTTCTTTTAAAAACCTTTAATACTAATTTTATAAACTCAATTCACGGCCATATTTTTCTACTTTCGTTCTACATGTCTAAATCATCTAAAGCCTATTTTCAATAATGACAACCGTAAAATGTAATATTGGTCCTTGTTTTCCAGTATTCCATCTATGAATTTTGTAAATTTGCTACCCTTAGTATGCTACTGACAGCTAGAAGTGACTTAATGCTGGAAAAATATCAGAGGAACAAATAGCTTTTCTCCTTCCTTCGAAAGAAAGGAGATAGATTCATGGAGCAGGAAAAGTAGATAGGAGACGAGTGTATGTATTAAGAAGAAATACTAAAGCTTTTTGAATAGTGTGATTAACGCATGAAATGACTCATTCAGTTGCTTGTAAATAGAAAACAGGTTCTGAAAAACCATGATTTTGCTTTCATTTATTTTGAATATTGAATATAATCATCACTTTTTAAGAAAGTTCCAGAAGTTTTTTTGTAGTTGAAAATTAATGTTGGTGCCCAAATACATCCAACAAAATCATAAATTTAACAAACTTCATCGTTTTTCAAAATATAATTTCTAACATCAAGCAACCAAATGAGTCCTGAAGTAAAAGTATTAAGAGGATAAGGTACTTCAAATATGTCGAGAGAGAATTTAGGAAGAATAGAATGAATAAATGCACAAGTTTTATTCATTCTCTTCCTCAACCAATCCAAAAGGATTCTCTCAATGCCTTTCTCACATTCATAACCCTCCTATATTCCACACATAATGATTGGGGATACCTCAACCAAGACCACTATGCCATCAATGGGTAGTCGGACTACTCATGCAATATCTTATAAAGTTATACTCCTAAAATCTCAAATAATAAAGCATAACCATCCTCTTGGTAGCTCTCAACCAAATATTTAGTCACTCTCAAGTCCTCACAAGCAAAAGTAAAATAAAGAAAATTATCAAACTCAGTTCCCTTAAGTTTTGCAATAATTTCTGCATCCGCGCACCATTTTTTGTATGGTTCACAGGTGCCCTGCAGAGTTTATCTATAAGAAGGAATCAAAATAAGAAAAGGCACCAGGCAATCATAAAACAAAGCAAAAAAATTTAGTACGACATAAAATAAGAGGTTAATTACACTTTCATTCCCATTGGATAATGTTAGATGCTCCTGCCTGTTGAGGCAGAACAGGCTTTTCCGCATGTTTAGGCGGAATAGATTTCCGCCTGTTTAGGGGGAACAGGCTTCTACCTGTTTAAATGGGGTGGGGCTAGCAGCAAGAAACAATTAAGGGCAGCAATTAAGGGATATTAAAGAGGTGATTATGAGGGAAATTTAAATTAGGAGGATTGTTTTGACATTAACTATATTTTGTATGCTTTAAATATATTGTTTATCCTAGGATTAGGATGTTTTATCTTGTGTTAGCTAAAATTTGGAGAGTTCTTAGGTTTTGTTTGGGCTCTAGCTGCCGGCTAGAGATTGGGAAAGCCGGATCCTCCTCTCCAATTGAGAATCCAATTGTATCTTGTTATTTTCTTTCAAATTTCTTGTTAAAAAAAATTATATGGTGTCTTCTTCCCGATTTCCATTAATGTTCGCTGATTTGGTTGAAAAAAATATAAATTTGGATGTAAGAGCCCCTACTTCCTATCAAATTGGTATCACAGCAATTTCCTAGGCGGAAAATAGAAGTCTTTCTCATTGCTTTTTGTTGTGTCTCCTCTCTGATCGTGCAGTTTTTGCTGTTTGGAGACTAGATTCGTATCAAAGTTATTGTTTTTGCTATTGAAGCCTAAATCTGGGTACCTATGTCAGGAAGAAAGGTAGAAGTATTGCAATGGGAGATTGAACAATTTAAATCTGAAATTTCATATTTCCAAACACAACTTTCAGATGTCAAAAGTCAAATTTCAACCATACACGAGAAGATGGATGGAAAATTTTCCATCCTAGAGGAGATATTAAGGAAATTGTTCAATGGCCAACCCAAAACGGAGTCGTCGGAGGCGAGGGAAGCTTTCAACAACCAAGGAAATGGAAAAAAATCTAATCTAGTTAAGAGAAGGGAATATCAGGAGGTGAAGATTCGGGAGGGAGAAGAGAGAATGCCTCTCCCATAGCCTATTCCTAAGGAGGAGGGTAGAAGGTATGGTAAGAGGCGTGAGGAGGTCGGGTATGAACTAAGGGGTGCTAAATTTGAGAGGGGCACAATTTGAAAGGGGAAGGGCTAATTATGACCAAACGGGTGCTAAATTTGAAAGGAGATGAGTTGATTATGATCCAAAGGGTGTTGAATTTGAAAGAATAAGGCGGGGATTTGATGAAAGGTTTGGGTACGAGCGTAAATGAGATAATTGGGACACTTGGAGGTAACCAACCCCTTGGGGAATGAAAAATTATGGAGTAAATAGGGGAAATGCATGAGATTCTAGGGTTAGGAAGCTGAAGATGACTATTTTTTAAAGAGATAATGAATGCACATGGGTGGATCTACAAGGTGAAAAGGTATTTTATTATCAATAGGTTAATGGAGGAGGAGAAATTGATGGCAACCGAGATGTTCTTGGAGGGGAAGCTTTAGCTTGGTGCCAGTGAAGAGATATGAGATGACCCATACGAATCTAGAGGGAGTTTAAGGGCCACTTGTTGAAACGTTTCTGAACCAACAGGGAAGGGGATTTCCATGAGCAGTTCTTCTTATTGACGCAAGAGGGGGCAATAGTGGAGTAATGAGAGAAGTTTGAGCACTTGGCCAGCCGACTTGATCGGCTTTAGAAGATTGTACAGGAGGGGAAATTTATGAAATAGTTCAAACCAGAGATTTGGGCGATAGTTAGAGTGATGAGGCCTCAGAATTTGGGAGAAACTATGGAGCTAGCCCAATTAGTAGAGGATTATAGGCACCTAGAGAGAGGAGCTGGAGGCAGAAGCTCAGGAGAATCGTACAGAATGACCACCACCTTTCTTGCATCAAAGGAGCCAACACCAGGTACTCTTAAGGAGACCTCGAAAGATAAGTCTGTGGGAGGAAGACCGAGGAAAAACTTCAAGAGAATCACAGAGACGGAGCCACATGAAAAGAGGGTGAAGGGGCTGTATTTTAGATGTGACGAGAGATATACACTGGGGCACAGGTGTAAGGACCAAACTCTTAAGTATGCGAAACATTTTTTTAGTAGTTTAATGGAAATTATGTTAGTGACTCCTCGACTTTTCTTTGGATTGTATTTGATAAATTGTTTTTGAATTTGAAGAAATGTTATAAGCGTCCAACTGTTCATTCCCGCCTCATTAATTCGAGTATCCGGGCCCGGTCGTGACAAGGATAATCTTGAATGAGAAGAGGGATCCCCAAACATTATGTGTGGAATATTTACTGGTATAATATATATGTGAAAGGCTTCGAAATAGTTCATTTAGATTGGCAGAAGTATAATTTTTAGCATGTCCCCAACGAAACAATGAGGTTGGGCTTAAGCAAAGACATGGTGTATGCTTGAATATTATCCGTTCCTTTATTCCCTCAAAAAAATTCAATTGATTCTATAATTGATCTCTTTATTGGGCAAGATTCAAAAGATAAAAGAGCATGCATGGAATGTGCTATGTTGGCACACCTACAAGCTGGATTAAAGAGTATGCATGGAATGTCCATTATTTTATCCTCTAAGAGCTTCAAAGAGCAATTCCAGGCATATAGAATCCATTTTCCACCCCTTTTCACTCCACATTACACTTTCTCTCTCTTCCCACATCCATAACATGTAATCTTATTGTTGCTTCTAGGCGTAAATAAGAACTCTGTTGCCATCATCTTGTAAGACTCTACGCATCAATCACCTCCAACAATACTACTAGAGGCAGGGAATGGCTAAACCATATACCTCATCATCAGGCAAATAAAGCTATTTTTAGGCAGTCAAATTAGGTTAAGCATGTTTACGTCCCTATCCAAACCCAATCAAACTCAAAAATCAACTGACTGAGCTCTACTATCTCCTATAGTTTGACTCTTTCTGTTGGGCAAGGCACCCTGATTAATAAGCTTAGCAATATGATCACGATCAGCCCAAAGCTAATTTCATGTTTCAATCTAAATTCCTTGGCCAAATCAAACAATAACCCTAATAGTTTAACCAAGGTGAGTCAATAAGCACATACCTAAGTCAAGTCAAACAACAGATAATACATAATAGGTTAGCACGAGAAGATGTTGGCTTTCTATTTATTCTTAACAAGGAATATGTTATCATCATTATCAACATAGCTATTGCATTACTAAATGAAATTTTTAATCCTTTGCCTCCATTTCCTGTTTAGGTCTATAAGAGCTTAATCTTTTGCATTATCACTAATCAAGTTAAAATTGGTGCTTCCTCGATATAGTGTTATGCATAATCCATTTTAATTATTGTATAGATCCCTCTCTTTTCAGTGCTGCTTCGATTCAATACGCCTTGATCTTACACCTCTTGGTAATTTAAATCCCACCAACTAAACAAAAGAGACATTCAATGAAATTACAAAACATGAGTACCATGGATGTCTTTGATATTCGGTTGCTATATTGCATTATTAAACTTCTATTTGAAAAGAGTTATTGGAATA